ACACATTCTCTCTCTCAATTGTCAGAGGGCCCCAGAGACATGGAGAGACAGAGAGAGACAGCACCCTCAATGGGTGTGGTCATACTGCAATCCCTTCTCCTCCATCTTTCCCTCCTCTTGGGATTTTGGGCACACACATGCACCTGGCATGTTTTTCGAGCCATCAGGCTGGGATCCAACCAAGGTCAGCCATGTGGGGTTCATTTCCCTTAATCACTAGCTACCAGGCAGGTCTTGAGAGGTTTGTCTCAGGCACTAAGTAGAATGCCAAGATCCCATGGGAGAGAAAATGAGGGCTACACAGCAAATAAACGCAGAAGTGAGAGGAGGCGGTGAGAACCTGGTGCTTATGCGTATCAGAAGCCTCTGTGTACACAGCGGGGAATGACAAGGAAGTCCAGCGATTGTCTGCAGTGTCAGAACAAGAGAACGCTCACTGAATCCATGGCAAGGTCTTAGATGGGGAGCACAACAGTTGCTGGCATTGAGATTATTTATTTATTTATTAAAAAAATTTTTTTTGTCACATGGTGCATGAGCTCACCAGAGAGAGACAAAGAGAAGCAGAGAGAGAGAGAAAGTGAGAAATCACACTTCCAGAGGGGATGTCTATGCTGCAATCCCTTCTCCTCCATTCTCCTTTCGGGTTTTGGGCATGAACACGTATGTGCCCGGCATGTTTCAATCTGCTGTTTCCAGGACGCAAACCACTGTCAACCACATGGGAGTCCAGCACCTTAACCACTATGCCACCTGCTAGGCCTGGCATTGATTCTCGATGATGGGCTATCCTCTCATCTGGGATTATGGAGAACATAACCGTACCTGAGGGTGCAGGATCAGCCTCTCGAGATCCATCTCAGATTTACAAATAATATCTAAGTAGTGCTCAACATTTGTGCAGGCGTTCTCTCTTTACGAGCTCTTTCTCATCCATCCATTTATACTCCTTCCCGTGTCAATCTCTTTACGTAAAGTAATTTTTAATTTCATTTTTTCTTATTTTGTACGTTCAATCACTGTGTAGAAAATGAATTTCCCAGCATGAATACACTGGATAGTAGTCCAGTCAAAGATGCTAACATACACATTGTCATCAACAGATCACTTTCCACTTTTGTGTCCGTTGAATGTTTCGCCTCTTTCCTCCTTGACTTCCTCCCTCCCACCCAGCTCCCATTTCCTGCCCTCCTCCCACACCATCTCTGGTATCCACAGTTGCTTTCCGTGCCAGACCATGGAAGAGAGTAGTTGTATTTCCCCACTTAGTATATACGGAATGTCTGCACTCTATGGCAGAAGCGGAAAGATCGGACGGTACATAAAGTAATTTTAACCCACTAATATAATGATCTCTAAAACCGACTTATTCTTTAGTCACAATGATTAGCAGGTTTCTTGCTTTTTGTTTTTTGGGTTTTTTTTTTTTTTTGACATGGTGTTTAGTGGTTGTCTTCTGTGATGAACTTCTACCAAGGGTGCACCTCAATGACAGACTGAGATGAGAGTGGCAGTGGTTCACTATGCAAAACATACATATAGTAACTACTTTTTAATTGAACAGACTGGGTTAGGGACTATTCTAAACAAAGCGCGCAATTCGTGTCCCTAAGCCTCACGTAGCATGTTCTCCAAGTGAGGACTCTGTGGCAGAGATCTTAAGTAAACGACCCAAGGTTGTAAATAAAGGAACTGGGCAGCCCAGCCATGGCAGCATGAGCTGGTAGGCAGTGTTACTGTGTAGGCTAGGGCCGCATGGGACTCCGAGTTCGATTCCTGGCTCACCAGAGAAAACCAGGCACAGTGGTGCATGCCTATAGTTCCAGCTACTCAGGAGGCAGAGGCAGAAGGGTGGTGACATTGGGAGACCCTGTCTAAAAATAAGGAAATAAACTTAAAAATACAGGCACTGGAATTCTAACTGAGCTGTTATAGCGCCAGACCCGTGCATTTAAACTCTGTGCTCTGCTGCTTCCTGTGTCCTGTATCCAGTGACACAGATTCAGGGGGAGTGTCAGAGGGAGCGTTGGGAGAGAAGGGCAGGTGGCAGGAGTGGTTGATTGGAATGTGTTGACCTCCCCTCAGGGGATATTCAGAAGCTTTCTGCACCAGCCAGCCTAGCCTCTTCCTCCTCTTCTTCTCTTTTTAACCTGCTAGAGATGTGTGTGCTCATCAGAGAGGGAAGAGTGTAAGAGGGAGAAAGCCTCCCCCTCCGTCCCCATGGGCCATAGTCATGCCACAATCCTTTCTCTTCCCTTTCTCCACCCTGTTGGGATTTGGGGCACGCACACGCATGTGTCCTGTGTGTTTTCCAAGCCTCTGAATCCAGGACACGAAACACAGGGTCAGCTATTTGGGATCTAATTCCCTTAGCCACCAAGCCATGGGCTGACCCTGTCAGGGCTCGCTTCTGACAAGGTTGTAAAGCACCTGAGAAGTGTGAAGTGTCCATGTTCATTTCTCTTCTGGGAGCAAATGTACGTAGTTTAAGAGGACTTAGCCGTGCGAGTGCGGTCTGGGTCCACCGACCGCCACAGTAAGTCACGGCTACATGGGCACCTCCCTATCCTCCGGGACAGAGCAGCTGTGTCCAGTGGGTGCATGGCAAACACGTGGCGGTGGGCTGAGGAAAGCACACAGGGATGCAGCATGTCCTCTCTGTGACGGGGAGTGAGGGGGTGATGCAGTCAAGGGACAAGATAGTAAGTGGGATGGCCGAATGGTGCGACTGTAACAGAACCGGATCCGTATGGGAAAGGCTCTGGGTTCATGTCCTGGAGCCTCCCTGAGTATGCTGGGCACATGTGTGTGGATCCAGGCTGGCTGGGATGTTGGGAGTGTGCGCTCCCTCTCTCTCTCTCAGAGAAATGTATGAATAAACTTTTTAAAAATGACAGTAAGTGAATTCTGTTGCCAGTTGGGCAAACACCGACCCTGCAGGCAGCGAATGAACACTTTGTCCTGACAGTTAGTCGGCAGCCTCGCCCCTCCCCGGGGCTGCTGCCGAAGATGGGCTTGCCTCGCCAATCTTAGCCAGCACATCTGCGTAGAGCAAATTGCCTAACCTCCTGAACCTCAGTTTTGCCATTTGTGAAGCAGGGATAATACAAATGTGTACCATTAAAGAGACAGTGAGAATAAATGAGAAAAACCTTGTAAAATACGGGCATGCTCCTGGGTTACAGATAACAGGGGAGTAACAGGAATTGAGAGTTAGCGACTCAGAATAACTCAGCGCCTTCCTTTGACGGTTGGCTAACGCCCCTTTGATCTTGAGTGAGCAGGCAGTTAGTTGCCCCGCTATCTGAAGGAGCGACTCCATGGATTTGTTTTCTCGGATAGCATAGCGACAACTGGCGGCCATCAGACAGACGGGGCCATGGTACATGGCGTCCTGGGTTCCTCACTGGGTGGCTTATGGGTCGGGAGTCAGATAAGAGAGGAATGACCAGGCAGGCCATGGGGAGGCCAGAGAGTGGCCCTGAGGACAAGGGTCCAGGGACATACCCTGGTCCAAGCAAAGTCAGGGGGTGAGGTGCGGCTCAGTGGCAGTTGCCACGACTACCACCATACCTGTGGGAAATGACATCTAGGTGGGCTCCCTGAGTAAGACACAGGACCACGGCTAGGAGCAGGGCAGGTGGCCTCGCAGAGTGCCGTCCAGACAGACCTCACCTGGTGAAGGGGGGCTCGTTCATGACACTACGGAAGGTGCCTCTTGACAGATGGTGTTAGAAACCCACTGGTAACATTGAGGGTCATTTGATAACCCTTGGCCGTGTCGGGGACCTTCTGGGGCAACATCTACAATGCAGGAAGCCAGCATTTGAACTAATGCTTTTCTTTCTTTCTTTCTTTCTTTCTTTCTTTTTCTTTCTTTCTTTCTTTCTTCCTTTCTTTCTTTCTTTCTTTCTTTCTTTCTTTCTTTCTTTCTTTCTTTCTTTCTTTCTTTCTTTCTTTCTTTCTTTCTTTCTTTGAGAGGTTTTCGCTATAGGGCACGTGCGCTTGCCAGACAGACAGAGAGAGAGACGTAGAGACAGAAAGCGAGAAATCACCCCCCAGGGTGGATGGACACGCCGCAATCCCTTCTCCTCCACTCTCCTATCGGGATCTTGGGGACGCACACACATGCGCCCGGCATGAGTTTAAGCCACCAGGTCCAGGACTTGAACTGTAGTTGACTATGTGAGAGTCCAGTGACATAGCCATTATGCCAACTGCTGGTCCTTTGAACCACTTCTTAGTGGCTCCTGGCACTGATGTCACTGTGAGGAAAATATATGTCACGGAGGGGAAGCTGCTTTTGTTTTGTTTTATTTACTTATTAATTCCTTCTATGGGAAAAAGAGACAGAGAGAAAGAGAGAGAGAGGCACCTCAACAGTGTCCTCATGCCATGACCCACCCCCCGGTCTCAGCTGGCCCTGGGTCATGGGCATATGTGTACCTGCCGAGGACAGAGAGGCCCTGGGATGTGAACCGGGGACCTCCTCACGTGGGTTCAGTTGTGTTATCACTGTACCACCAGCTGACCCTGAAAGCTGGCTTTTGACAACTTCCTGTTTCTCTCCCCCCAATATCTGACACTCTGACTTCACATACCACCCGCAGGAGGTCACGTTGTCCTCACTGTACAGTGTCCATTCCAGAAGGGCGGTTGATTTTCATTTTGTGCATTGTTAAAGTTTTTTCCCCAGAGAGTGCATATGCTCACTGGAGAGACAGACAGAGACAGAGAGAGAGGAAGTGAGAAATCACCCCCAGGAGGGATGGCCACGCTGCAGCAATTCCTTCTCCTCCGTTCTCCTCCTGGGACTGGAATGTGACCATGGCTGGCCAAGTAGGAGTCCAGCGCTTGACCACTGCGCCGCCTGCTGGCCCCTTGAAGTATTTTTTAAATGTACTGCATGGGAAAGTGTGGACAACCCAAAGGCTTTAACTGTGCCCAGGGAGATTCGACGACCAGATTGCGGAGGTGGCTGGTGGAGGGTGCCTAGCAGGATGTCCTTCTTCACGTTGTGCCTCTCCATAGGAACGGTGTGAGAGAGAGCTTCTCACACTCCTGCCACCTCATCTCCCCACAGCGTATGAGAGAGGACGGACGGCTGGGTGTCCCACTCTTGGTCCCCAGCTCCTTCCTGTCTAGCCACTTCACATCTGCCAGAATGGTCTCGTAAGAACATGTTCCAAACATATTCCCTCTGCATAAGTCCTCAAAGGGCTTCCCATCTCACTCAGGGCAAACTACAAAGTCCAAAACAAGGACTCCAGCACTCCCTGCGATCTGAAACCTCTGCTTCTCTGCCCCATCTCTCCTCTCACTCCCCGCCCCTGCACTGGCCTCCCAGCTGCTCCTCATGTGAGCCATGCTTCCCCCTGCCTTGCTGCCTGGCCCTCGCTGCAGCTCCACCTGGGAAGTCCCACAGGCATCCATGTGGATCAGTGGGCCAGACATCTATGGCTGCATACTAGTCCCACCCCCCACCCCCCACCAAGCTTAGTGGCTTCAAACAATAGCAATGTCTATTTTCTTCATGAAGCTACAGTTCGGGCATAGCTGGGCCAGGATAGCTCATTTCTGCTCTCCTAGGCATCAGCTGGAGCAGCTAGCTGGGTTTGCACACGACTATATCTGGGAGTTGAAATTGGCTGTGCCAAAGGACCGTGGATCTAGCACCAAACGCCTGCACCTGATCTCTCCATGTGACTTCCTCGCTTCCCTGCAGGGTGGCGGTTGGGTCTCTAGGGTGAGCCTCTCAAGAAGACCAGGTGATGCGCATGGCCGCCCAGACTCAAGGGGACACAGCGCCCCCTGCCCTCGGGGAGGAGAGTCGGCCTTTCATGGCAAAGACACTGCGTGACAGGCATCTTAATGTCGTCCCACTATTTATCCCCCCTTTTCTCTGTAGTTCAAATCTCTTCAGAATGATTATAAATGAGGAACTCCTATACGAGGTTGAAAGCCCCAATTACTGTTTATGCCACACTGCACATGACAGGGAGCTTCAGCTGCCTTCTGGTGGACGTCTATCCACCTTGCAGCTACAAGAGTCTTTGGTAGGTGGATAGTTCAGGCAGAGTTATAGCTGAAGGTCCAAGAATGATTGCAACTTACAGCAGGGGGCCTGCAAACTATGGTCTGTAAACCAAATCTGGCCTATCGCCTGTTCCTGTTTGTGTAATAGGCAGTGCGTAGGAACTCTTACTGCGATGAACTACATGTTTTGACCCTAGAGGAGTTACTTCAGGTTCAAGAAGTGTCTCCCTGGGGCGAGAAGGTGGCGTAGTGGTTATCAGGTTGGACTCTCATATGGCCAACCACAGCTTGGGTCCTGGACTCTGTGACTTCAAAGTCACACCAGGAGTGTGTGCATATTTGCCAAAAATCCTGAGAGGAGAATGGAAGAGAAGGGATTGTGGCATGGCCATCCCCCCTGGGGGGTGATTTTTCACTTTCTCTCTGTCTCTCTGTTTCTCTTCGGTGAGTGCACACACCTTATAGCAAAAATTAAAATCTAGGATCTTTTGTTTGCTTTTTTTTTTAGGAGGGTTCTTAGTTTGGCTGCAGGGCGCATGCAGTCGCTGGAGAGAGACAGACGTGGGGGTGGGGGGAGGTAAGAAATGACCCCCTAGGATGGCCATACTGCAGTTCCTTCTCCTCCCGTCTCCTCCAGGGATTTGGGCACACACACACACACACACACACACACACACACATGCACACACACACGCCTGGCGTGATTTTCAAGCCACCAGGTTTGGGACTTGAATGGCACAGTCGGCCATGTGGGATCCACAGCCTTAGCCATGCCACCTGCTGGCCCAACAGCGGCAGGATCTTAAGCAGAACACGGTAGTCTCGGTTGCACCTTCCTCTGATGAACTTTTATCAGAAAGTCCTGGAAAAGTTAATGGAGGGGCCGGCAGGTGGCGTGGTGGTTAAGGTGCTGGCCTCCCGCATGGCCGACCATGAGTCTGGACCTGGTGGCTCGTTTTCTCACTTTCCTTCTCTCTCTGTCTGCCTCTCTCTGGTGAATGCATATGCACTACAGCAAACAAAATAATAATAATAATAAAATTAAATTAATAATAACTTTTAAAAGTCAATGGAAAGATGCATATTATGATAAAACATGAATTTCAAAATTTTTGGAAAGAAAATTGCATTATAATTCCATTTGTCCAAAACCTTTTTGAAGTCCCCTCATATAAAATACACTTACTTGGTAAAACCTTCTCTTTACCTTGATTTAATCCTCTTCATACAAGTCTTTACCACATGTAAGTGCTCCCTAAATATTTCATTAAATAAATGAATACATTATCATCACAACCAAAAAGATGTCCAGTAACGTTTAACTCTTAGAGCTTTCTTGAGCTGACCCTGTAGCGTGAGGATTAAGTGTAGTGCACTGGGAACTGGATCCCATAGGGCAGACCACAGTTTGAATCCCAGCCCTGGTGGCTTGAAAAACACACCTGGGATGTGTGTGCGCATGTCCAAAATCCTGACTGGAAGGATAAACAGAGGAGGAAAAATCGAAGCACGACCACGCCCCACAGGGCTGCTCTCTCTCTGCCTCTCTCTGGTAAGTGCACACACTTTCTACAATAATAATAAAAGCTTTCTAGCACACAAAGAATATTTATACATAGGCTCTGTGTTAAATTTTCCAGCAGCTCTGGGAAGTAGAATAGTAGACTCCTATTTTATCGACGAGAAATGGAGGCTTAGAAAAATGCACACAGCTGGTAAGAGGTGGGGCCAAGGTCAAAGCCAGTTTCTAGCACCGAACACATGTAAGTTCTTCACGATGCTGTGGACGATGTTCAGGTAGACCAAGCTTCCTGTGCTGTCATCACCCAGCCTTGGGGAGAACAGCCAGCATACTACGACCGAGGTCGCTGTCGCTGAAGGTGCAAGGTCCCCTTCCTCGGGCTCCTGCTGGACAGCAAGCTGGTGTACCTCATAGTGGACTTTTCCTCCCACTTCCTGCTTTTCTTTGCAGTCTGGCCGACCGTCGATGCCGTCTCTGTGGAGACTACCTCGGAAGTTCTTCGGGCTGCCCGGGGAAAGAGCGTCACCCTCCCATGCACCTACAGCACGACTGCCACGGACCGGGATGGATTTATCCAATGGGATAAACTTCTGAGGAGTCACACGGTAAGGGGCCCGACGAAGGTGGGCGACGTGGAGTGGTGATCCTCACCTCACTGCTTGCCAGGCAAGCTCTGTAGAGCTTGTAATGGGGGTTAGCCAGAATGATATGAGCACCCCGGGTGTGCGGGAGGGGCTGTGAAGCTGGGGAGACAGGTGGATTATGCCACCTTTATTTTGAAAACGTTACTGCCCTACCGTGTCATTCTACTGGCAGGCCTCAGGTAGTCTAAACTGCACCCTTTGAGTCGCGGGGTCCTTGCTCTGAGGCAAGAGAGAGGGGAAAGCAGAGGTGCATTCTGACAATCTCACTGCCACAGTCCTCTTGCTCTGACCACCCGATCAGCTCCGATTACAGGGGCGTCTGTGACCTGCTGGCTCAGAGGCACAGGTTGACCTGGGGACTGAATCTGGGCCTCCCATGGGACTTCCAGCCTCCTGAGTGGTGGCCCTAGCTAGGCAGCACTGCGGCTGGTCCCCATATCTATTGGGTTGTCAGAAAAGTCATGATATATTTCTTTCTATGCTTTTCTATGCAAAAATGCGTGATGACATTTCCAATAGCTCAAGTAATGCTGCAGTAATATAAATATCCTTCCATTTACATTTCTGGATGGGCGCCCACGTACACACACGCCCAAGGGGACTTCAGAGAGGCTGTGGGAAATGAAAGTAAAGTCCACGTTTATTTCAGTGCCCAAAATTGTTTAAGTTCCTGCACACTGGTTTCATAACGCAGAACGGCTAGGTCAGTAAGTGAACTGTGCATACGTGGGGAGCTTAAGGGCAGGTGGCCTGTGGTGTGTTGCGGAGCCATAGGGTATGAATAGGTTCATGTGACCCCAGGCTGGAATAATGTCATGCTATCCATACAAAAAGCATACGGTGGATAAGCTCCAGAAAACGACAAGACACACCACAGTAGTAAAAATCTGGTGTAATTGTTTTTATTTATTCTAAATACTATTGTGGGTGCACAATAAAAGACAAATTTATAAATGAAATATGCAGTCTTGCGTAACTGTGAACCCTTTGTAAGTGAGTACTAACCGACCACGTGAGTAAGACAAAGACTGAGAAAGGGGATTCCCTGCACTGGAGACCTAGTGGTAAGCCCCAGCAGTCGTTAAACGGACAGGTCACTAAGCGAGAGAGAGAGAGAGAAAGAGAGATACACACACACACACACACACACACACACACATTGGGTTATTGGAAAAGTCATAGTGTGTTTTTCTATGCAAAAATGCATCATGACTTTTCCAATAAGATGTTAAAAGTGTAACTTTTGGGTCAAGGGGTATGTGAATTAGAATTTGGATACATGGGACCAGCAGTTACCATAATGGCTATGTCATTGGACTCCCACGTAGTCGACCGTGGTTTGAGTCCCGGACCTGATGGCTTAAACTCACTCCCGGTGCGTGTGTGTGCATGCCCAAAATCCCGAGAGGAGAATGGAGGAGAAGAGATTGTGGCATGGCCATCCCCCCTGGGGGGGTGATATCTCACTTTCTATCTCTCTGTCTCTCTCTGTCTGTCTGGAGAGCACACGCGCCCTATAGCAAAAACCTCTCCCCTCCCCCCAAAAAAGAATTTGGATACGTAATGTTAAATTGCTCTCATTGGATGTCTTACCAATATTCATTTTTACAAGCGCCTATTTCTCCAACAGAGTATTCTCAAACTGTTACTTGCCAATTTACTAAGTGATAAAAGGATCTCATTATTGATCAAATTCACATTTCTTTCATTTTAAGAAGTGGAGCATCTATTTATAAATCTAAAAGTAAGCTCTCCTTTTGAAATGCAAGTGTTCCTGGCTGAGGCAAGCATTAGGTCGCTGACTGCTCAGAGTGAAAGAATTTAGTTTATTCCCTGACAGGAGTGGAGTGGCCAGGAGCAGCAAGACTGACGGGGAAGGCAGAGAGTCTGGGCCCAATGCACCCAGGGACCCTGATGGCCATGGCTCCATGTCTTCTCGGCACCGAGCCAGGGCGATCCCCTGGTTGGAAGGCTGCTGCCTTTAGCTTGCAGGAACTGCAGCCCCCCTTCCGTCACCATCTCACACGCATTTAGCAAATCAGATGTCAGAACTCTGCCTGACACTCTTCCATGTATATGGGGAAACCAAGTTGGGTTTTTTTAGTTTTAGTTTTGCCATGGAGTGTGTGTACTTGCCGGAGAGACAGAGATGGGCAGAGGAGAGTGAGAAACCCACCTCTTCTCCTCCATTCTCCTTTGGGGATTTGGGGCACACACACATGCACATTTCTCAAGCCACCTCATCTAGGCCTTGAACCACCAGTTGACCACGCGGGAGCTAGCCACCTTAACCACCATGTCACGCTCTAGCCGTAAGAAGTTATTTTATGAACTAATGGATCTCTTACTTCCAAAGGGATTTGAGGCAAGTCCCTCAAGACCAAGGAAGGGTGTGGAGAAAGAGATTTAATCAGTCCCCTCAAGATTATTGTGACAGGCTCTAGCAAGAGATATGGCCAGGCAGAGACCCAGGAAGGAAGCCGTAGGATACCTTTGACAGGAGAAGGGTCCAGGGGTGGAGAGTCCTGGGTTGACATCAGAAATGACGCTGTCTCCTCGTTCTCCTCTCTGCCCAGCATGGCCTGGCGTCTGCCCCTGCCACTCCACTGGAACCCCGAGCAGCTTCTTTCGCTCACCTCAGTACGCTCCATCCAGTCGCCCTCGCCTCTCCTCGGCGGCTCACACCGGCAACATTTCCTGTCTTAGTCTTCTTGCATGGCACTTAGCTGGCCTCCCCCTGGCTTTTCCTCTTTCCACTCTGACTACTCCGGACCCCTGTGTGAAGTATCTGGGGACTTGCCATTTCTACACTCGTGTGCCTTGCTGGCTTTTCTGAGCCCATGTCTCAGTGAACGCGTGTGTATTCTCGGCTCACACACCTTTATCTCAGACTTAAGAAACTCCTCTCCCTGGGTGACCCACCGACACTTCCAGCACCTCACATCTAAACAAGACCCAGTTCGTTGACTTTTTCCAAAAGCTTACACGTTTATTTCTTCCTTGAGTGAGAGAGACAGAGAGCGACACAGAAAAATAAAGTACCCCACAGGAGTCTTGACACTGCGGTCCACCATCAGCCTTGGCCAGTCCGGGATCATGTGCGTGCGTGTGCTTGGCATGGCCAGCACGGTCTGCAGACTCGAACCCAGACCTTTCCCATGTGGAGTTGCCTTGCAGAGCATCACGTTTTATTGCTGTGCCATGGTTTGACCCAGTTTTTATCTTCCTTTTCTTTTTCTTTTTAAAGATTTTTATCTGAGGGCACGTGCACTTGCCAGAGAAAGAGAGAGACAGAAAGTGAGAGGGAAGTGAGAAATCACACCCCGGGGAGATGGCCATGCCACAGTCCCTTCTCCTCCCAGGATCTTGGGCATGTACACACACATGCCTGGCGTGAGTTTCAAACTACCAGATCTGGGACTCGAACCACAGTCAGCTATGTGGGAGTCCAGTGACGTAACTGCTATGCCATCTGCTGGCCTCGGCCTCCATTTTTTCTTAAAACATTCTCTTCCTACGTGTTTCCTCTCTCAGAAATGATGTCTGCAAACATCCAAGCCAGGACGCCCATGAGGTCTGCCACTCTGCACCCCTGCACACCTCACCAGCCCTGGGTCTCGGCCCTTCCTCTTTCATACTCTCCCAACCCATTTTTTTCTGTGTTGCCATGACTTTATCTGAGGCCTCATAATTTTTCACCTGCATTTGTTAAACTGATTTCTTTTTAATTTTCTTTTTCTTTTCCTACGTGTGCTTGACAGAGAGAGAGGAGAGAGAGAAAGTGAGAAATCACCCCCCATGAGAGATAGCCACACCACAATCCTTTCTCCTTCATTCTCTCAGGATTTTGGACACGCATGAACACGTGCCTGGCTTGTTTTTCAAACTGTGTTTTCCAGGGCCCCAGGTGCTGAGGCAGCCACGCGGGATCCAGCTGCCTCCCCGAAACTCCTCTCCCTGGGTGACCCACCGACACTTCCAGCACCTCACATCTAAACAAGACCCAGTTCGTTGACTTTTTCCAAAAGCTTACACGTTTATTTCTTCCTTGAGTGAGAGAGACAGAGAGCGACACAGAAAAATAAAGTACCCCACAGGAGTCTTGACACTGCGGTCCACCATCAGCCTTGGCCAGTCCGGGATCATGTGCGTGCGTGTGCTTGGCATGGCCAGCACGGTCTGCAGACTCGAACCCAGACCTTTCCCATGTGGAGTTGCCTTGCAGAGCATCACGTTTTATTGCTGTGCCATGGTTTGACCCAGTTTTTATCTTCCTTTTCTTTTTCTTTTTAAAGATTTTTATCTGAGGGCACGTGCACTTGCCAGAGAAAGAGAGAGACAGAAAGTGAGAGGGAAGTGAGAAATCACACCCCGGGGAGATGGCCATGCCACAGTCCCTTCTCCTCCCAGGATCTTGGGCATGTACACACACATGCCTGGCGTGAGTTTCAAACTACCAGATCTGGGACTCGAACCACAGTCAGCTATGTGGGAGTCCAGTGACGTAACTGCTATGCCATCTGCTGGCCTCGGCCTCCATTTTTTCTTAAAACATTCTCTTCCTACGTGTTTCCTCTCTCAGAAATGATGTCTGCAAACATCCAAGCCAGGACGCCCATGAGGTCTGCCACTCTGCACCCCTGCACACCTCACCAGCCCTGGGTCTCGGCCCTTCCTCTTTCATACTCTCCCAACCCATTTTTTTCTGTGTTGCCATGACTTTATCTGAGGCCTCATAATTTTTCACCTGCATTTGTTAAACTGATTTCTTTTTAATTTTCTTTTTCTTTTCCTACGTGTGCTTGACAGAGAGAGAGGAGAGAGAGAAAGTGAGAAATCACCCCCCATGAGAGATAGCCACACCACAATCCTTTCTCCTTCATTCTCTCAGGATTTTGGACACGCATGAACACGTGCCTGGCTTGTTTTTCAAACTGTGTTTTCCAGGGCCCCAGGTGCTGAGGCAGCCACGCGGGATCCAGCTGCCTCCCGCCACAGCACTGGCTGCCTGGTGGCTGACTTCTTAGCTGGTCCCCTTTCTCCTTCCCCTTCATTGCCATCAGCAGTGCCTGCTGAAATGCACGCTCCGGAGCCCCGCCTCTCAGGGTCTGCTGCAGCACTGCACAGGCTCTGGAGCAGAAGGCCCCCCTGGAATCCTGGTCCTGCCACTTACGTAAACGTGTAACTCGGGGAGGCACTCACCCTCTTGGTGCCTGGCTCCCCGTGTGTAGACTGGGTGCACTCATCCTACCGGCTTTAGGTATGCTGGTACATCGGACGCCCCTGGAGCTCAGAGGCGTGCCCACACACAGTGTGCACCTGTCACCAGCAGTTCCCGCCCAAGTGCCCTCTCAGAATCTCTCGCTCGCTCACTCGCTGTCATTCACACAGAACTAAGTGCGGCCGATAAGCTGCTTCCCACTTCTAGGCCTTGCCCTGTGGTTCTCTTTCTACCTGAAATGCCCAGCGTATTTATCCTGCTCCAACATCCACTGCCCTAATCTTCCCCCAAGCCCTTTCCCTGGCTGATTCTTAGCAGTTCTACAGGATTCAAGGCAATTATTGCCTCTTCTGTGAAGCCTCCCCAGATTTTCCAGTCTAAAAGTGAGACCTTTCTTCCAGGGTCCCACCACAAGGTGTTGCACTGCTTGGTTATCAGCCAATTATTCCCTGAGGATGGAGTCCGTGACTCATTCATCCCTGAATGTCGGCCCCTGGCGGCGGCTCAGTAACAGTCCTGGCTGACACGCAGAGCCCCACCATGTCGGGCAATGCCCTGGCTGCTCTGCGTGTGTCCTGCACCTTCGTGCTCCCCACGGCCCTGAGAGACAGGTGCTGTTATGTTCTCTCCCTTACAAGTCACGCATTTTGCTCAGGGTCATACAACTAGTAAGTGACAGGACCGGGGTCTGGGTGGAAGCAATCCAGCAGGAAAGTCTGTGATCTGACCAGTGAGTCGGTGAGTAAATAGATCCCCGAGGCAGGAGCCAGGACGCGACGTGCACTTGGGAGTCCAGAGCGGCCGTCCGTGAGGTTGGCAGAGGAGTTGTGGCCTACTCCTCTGTTTTCCTGTGCCAAAATGCATCACGACTCTCCCGGTGACCCGACAGCATGACGCCTGGCACAGGTTGACGGAGTGAGTGAGAGCAGACAGTGACTGAAACGACATGAAGTGAGCAGGGAGATGCCGGAGGGCACAGGAGGGGAGTGCGGGATCTGAGACAGCCCCAGCCCTGCGTTCTGCGGTGTGAGCTCCCTCACCTGCTCACTCCCAAGGGTCTCAGTATTTTCATTTAAAAAACAAATTTATATGTATATGTGTGTGTGTGTGTATGTGTGTGTGTGCGTGTGTGTGTGTTCATATCCTGAGGCGTTGGTGCATCCTTGTTTCTGGTTCTCGGGACGAAGACCCGGTGACATTTCTTCTTCCTCTCAGGAAACAGTGGTCACCTGGAACTTCAGGACCCAAAGCTACGGCTATGGAAACCTTTATGAGAACCGTGTCAACATCTCGGACAGCGCCCAGCAGTCGGACGCCTCCATCACCATCAGCCAGCTGACCATGGACGACAACGGCACCTACGAGTGCTCCGTCTCGCTGCTGTCGGACAAGGCCATCACCGCCAAGGGCCGCGTCCGCCTCTTGGTCCTCGGTGAGTGTCTCTTTCTCGGAGTTGGAGGGAGCGATGGGGCAGAGGAGAGGTGCCCGGGGGTCAGATGCTGATGAGAGCTCAGCTCCTCCCAAGCCCAGGTGGGCGTGGCAGGGGCTGCTGCTCCTTTGGAACAGAAGGCGCCTCTGAGTTCAGGAACAGTGAGGGCAGAGCAGAAGGTTGGTGGGAAAGCCGGCCGGTTATTGGCAGAGGCCAGATGGAGAAGCACCAAGACGCTGTGCTCTGTGAGGCAGTCCCACATGGGAAGGCTGCAGGTTCAAGCCCAGAGACTTCCCTGAGTACACAGAGCCCAACTAGGCCCATGATCTGGGGCTGCCTGAGACTGGGAATGGATCCGGGCCCCCAGACCCTGTTGGGGTACTGTCTCTCCCTTCCCCTTGCCCCACTCTCACTCGTGGAGGAAAGAAATAACCTTCTCTTTTTAAGAATTATTTTATTTAGCTTTATTTATTTATTTATTTTAATTTGACCAGAGAGTAACAGAGTGAGAAAGAAAGTGAGAAAGCAAGCTGCCATGTCCAGGACCCGAACCACGGTTGGCCATGTGGGAGTCCAGCACCCTTCACTACCCACCTGCTGGCCCCAGTAACCTTTTTTTTAAAGTTTGTGTGTGTGTGTGTGTGTGTGTGTGTGTGTGTGTGTGCCCCATAGGGCATGTGCACTAGCCAGAGAGAGATGGAGAGAGACAGAGAGAGATAAAACTAGAAATCACCACCCAGATGGGATGGCCGCGCTGCAATCCCTTCTCCTCCACCCCCCTCCTGGGATTTTGGCAATACATCCATATATGCCCAAGTATGATTTTTAAGCCACCAGGTCCAGAACCGGAAATGGGGTCAGCCATGTGGGAGTTCAACACATTAACCACTAAGCCACCTGCTGGTCCCAAAAGAAATAAACTTCAAAAAGAAAAGAACTTCAAAAAGAAAAGTTACTGACGAACTGTAGTGAGTACCTAGTCTATGCCCAGTGTAAGAAGTGGCTCTCTCCTGGGAGGCAGCAGCACTTACAGCCAAAATAATGAGTCATTTTTCCCTTTTCCTTTTTCCTTTACATTGGTTGGTAGAATTTTTTTTGAAAAAATTCTTTTATTTAACTTTATTTATTTAAATTTGACCAGAGAGGGACAGAGTGAGAGAGAGAGGGAAAGTGAGACAGTGAGTCCACCTCCGCCTTAACCCACAGCACACACTCCTGAGAGTCCCGGGAGGACAAGAAAGCCAGCGAGGGGCAGCAGCTCTGCACTTGGCCGAAGGCCCCGCCTCCAGCCCCGCCGCCCTGCAGCAGCCACCCGGGACCGGGACCGGGACCGGGACCGGCGCCAGCGCGCGCACCGGCGGAGGAAGACGTGCTGGTTCTCGTGGAATCTAAGAAATGAAACCAGAAGCCACGGCGATGTCGGCGCTTAAATCACCTTGAGGCCCCTTTCCCGCCAGCTTCAGGGCGGGCCGTGCAACGGTTCGGCTCCGTGTCCCAGTCGCAGAGGAGAGCCCCCCTCCCGCGCCGGCTTCCCTGTACTGGGCTGCTCTGGGCTTCCGGGCGCAGCTGCACCTGCATAGCTATAAATCATGGACGAAGACCCCCAGAACATCCTGGCTATCCTGGACCCCTAACTGGCTACTGAATCTCAGGCTGGCCCATTCCGTCCAAAATCAGCCCATGTATCAGCAGCCCGGTGTTCCTGCAGGATACCGTTGACGCCAGCACCTCCACTGAGCTGTCCATTCGGATTGGAACGTCTAAGTCTCAGAGGTCAGGTACTGGCTCATCAGCAAGCTGAACTTCGGGAAGTCTTAACAGCTTTTGAAACCAGTGACAAATACGAGATGAAGAACAGCCTTGGACAGAGAGTTTACTTCACAGTAGATGATACCGATTTCTGGGGGCCAGCAGGTGGTGTGGTGGTTAAAGCACTGGACGCTCCCACATGGCCAACCAAGGTTCAAGTCCTAGACCTGGTGGCTTGCTTTCTCACTTTTCCTCTCTCCCTCGCTCTGTGTGTCTCACTCTGGTCAAATTAAAAAAAGAAAATAAATGGGTGAATAAAATTAAATAAATAATTCTTTAAAATAAAACAAAAGGATACTGATTTCTGTACCAGAAATTGCTGTGGGGCGTCTAGACCTTGAGAATTCCCAACAATTTGGGCCAAGAAGTCACAACTGTGGAGAGACCACTAGGATGTAGCAGCTGTTGTTTCCCTTGCTGCCTTCAGGAGACAGAAATCCATGCTCCTCCTGGTGTTCCAGTAGGTTATGTTTGTCAGACCTGGCACCTATGTCTGAATTATAATCCCTGGATTATTTTTCATTTTATAGAAAAAATTATTTAAAGCCTTATTAAAGTAATGCTAACATAAATTATGTTGTATTCTATTAAATCTTTAATTTCATACATAAAAGCTGATGTTATTTTATACATACCATATATTCAAAAAGTTTTAAAAATTAAGTTTTTTTGGTTTTTTTTTGAGAGGTTTTTGCCATAGGGCACGTGCACTCGCCAGAAAGACAGAGAGACAAAAAGACAGAAAGTGAGAAATCACCCCCCAGTGGGGATGGCCACACCACAATCCCTTCTCTTCCATTCTCTTCTCCGGATCTTGGGCACGCACACACATGTGCCTGGCGTGAGTTTTAAGCTACCAGGTCCGGGACTCGAACCATGGTTGATTACGTGGGAGTCCAGTGACATAGCCGTTATGCTAACTACTGGTCCCAAAATTAAGTTTTCTTCAGCATTATGTTTAAATAATACTAAATATCCATATCACCCAGGGAAAGTAAAATATGCATTTTTGATCTTCAGAAAGTACCCTATATTTAACTTCTTTTATAAGCAAATACACTACTATAAATGAGATTTTCATATTGATAAAGTAGTAAGTTACCGATTTTTAAATGATTTTTAGTAAATAAAGAAAAACACGGGAACCAGCAGTTAGCGTAATGGCTATGTCGCTGGACTCCCATGTAGTCGACCGTGGTTCACGTCCCGGACCCAGTGGCTTAAAACCCACGCTGGGCACGTGTGCGTGCGTGCCCAAGATCCCGAGAGGAGAATGGAGGAGAAGGGATTGCGGCGTGGCCATTCCCACTGGGGGGTGATTTCTCGCTTTCTGTCTCTCTGTCTCTCTCTGCCTTTCTGGCGAACGCACGTGCCCTATAGTGAAAAACCTCTCAAAAAAAAAAAAAGAAAAAAAAAAGAAAAACACAATTTATAGACTCATCCACTCTAAAACTTTGGAATTGTTATAATATTTGAAATTCTTATTTACCTATGAAATGTGTAGCTCCCGTATCGCCATTCTTAGAATAACATAACTATGAGATTACTTAGATGTTAAGCAAATAGGGGTGTCCCGGGGGAATTGGTCTCCTCTCGCGCTCTGGGCCAGCAGAGTGGGCAGGGGCTGGGCTGCTGGTTAGAGCCATCCTCAGGCAGCTGCCTCACCCTCCCCACATGGCTTCGGTCTCAAGGGCCTAGGCCTGGGCCTGGACACATGAGGTCTGGCCTTAAACCCTGGGCCTCTCTGGCTCAGGAACTGCCTCTGTGGGTGTGACAACAGGAGCACTTCTAATGACCCTCACACTCGCCCTGCACACGCTGGCCCTCGCTGGGCCACAGGAGGGGTCAGCCACATCTACCAGCCTGCCTGCTTCTGGAGCTGCTGGCAAGAGGTGGGCTCTGGAGAGCTTCTCCAGAAAGTTCCGGGTGGGACAGAGGTCAGAGTTCACCCCCAATGCTCAGTGGCGACTATGCACCTGAATTAAAGCACAAGAAGCTTGTTTATTGGGACCAGCAAACCACCAAGGGGCATGGAAAGAGGGGCAGAGGGACAGGCCTGCCACCCGGGTTCCAGTGACAACGCTTTCCACTGCGTCTTTCCTCCTCGCCCCGAGGGTACTGCTGTGGGTTTCGCCATTCTTCAGACCCTTCTGGGCTCTGCCCTGTGCCTGCTGCTCCCTCTGCCTGGTCCACCCTCACGTCTCTCTGACTGCAGCTCCCTCTCCACCCCAGGCCTTACCGAGTCTCCTCCTTCATATCACCGCTGAGGTTGTGGCGGGGTTGGTGTCCGGGCTCCCCGGCCTCTGGCCTTGCCATTGTCCCATTATGTGCTTTTGTCCCCACTGGGGTCCTTGTTCCCTCACTGTCACCCTGGTGCCTGGCACTGTCAGGCACACAGTAGGTGCTGGGTAACACTTGTCACATGGACCCCTCTCCAGGACGGGTGGATGGTGATGACGCTGATTGACATGCTCAGGCTTTGGGCCACCAGGAGCGCTGGGATTCAGGTTAGGACTGTGAGTTGGGGTGGCCTGTGGTTTTTGCAGCCTCCTTTCTGTGGCTTCCCTGTCCTTGTCTGTGTCCTCTTTGCACCTCCAGGCTCTTCAACTCCTGCACTGCCTGGCACGGAGCTCTAGTACTGCCCGGGGCCCTGCTGCCATCCACACTGATGGCGGCTGCATTTTTATCAGCAAAGCAGGGAAGAGGGCAAGGCGTAGCCCAAAGAGAACATCCCTAAGAGGTTAGAGTAGAAGGGCATTAGAGGGCCAGCCAGTGGCGTGGTGGTTAAGGTGACTGGATCTCTCATGGCCAACTGTGGGTTTGAGTCCCAGACCTGGTAACTTGAAAAACATGCTGGGTACATGTGCATGCCCAAAATCCTGAGAGGAGAATGAAGAAGGGATTGCAGCGTGGTTATCTGCACCACCCCGGGTGGGGGTGGAGAAACGATTTCTCAATTTCTTTCTCTCTGGCAAGCAAACAGGCCCTATAGCAAAAACTAAGAGAAGAAGAAAAAAGCATTAGAGATCACTTAACTCGGGGGAAAGCAAACACAGCCAAATCCAGCACCCAGCCTGTCTTCACATTTTGAGAGCATTTGTAAAAAGTAAAAACCAGCAGCAGCAAAGACGATATGGGCAAAGCCTAAAATATTGCCATTTGGCCATTTACAGAAAAGGCTTGCCCTCCCCTAATCTTCGAGGCAGGAACATGGGGTCCAGGGACTGAGGGCTTACCTAAGGTGGCACTGAGCAGTCCACCGCCGAGAGAGCCTGTGTAGCTGGTGCAGGGAGTGACCGGTCTGAAAAACCTGGGCTCTAGTTCCACCTCTTCCAGGACCTGTGAACAGGTGCTTCTGTGGCCTCAGTGTCGCCATGCTGGAGTATCTTTAAGACCCTTTAAAATGGAGAACACCTGAAGCCACACCTTGTAAAGCTACTGCAGGCCCAGGATGGTGTGAGGACCGGCCAGGAGGACACATTTCTGACGTTCCACCTCACCCTCTGCTGGGACAAACAAGGCATGGTGTATATGCTTGGGGGGCGGGCGTGCTTAATTCACGTCTGCTGTTCATCCCTCCTCTACGCAGTGTCACCCTCCAAGCCGGACTGCGGCATCGAGGGCGAGACGGTGGTTGGGAACAACATCCAGCTGACCTGCCAATCCAAGGAGGGTTCCCCCGCCCCGCAGTACAGCTGGAAGAGCTACGACATCCTGCACCGCGAGCGGCCCCTGGCCCAGCCAGGTAAGCGTCAGCAGGGAGGCGGGGCCCCACCGAGGTGCAGCTGATTGGCTAGGGCTGCAAGGAGTCTCTGGAGCGGGCCAATCAGAGCTCCCTGAAGGCCTCCGCTCCCGCACCTGCAGCTGCCACCGGGGTAACGC